GGGAGCGGCCACTGCACTCCAGTCTGGGCGACCCAGTGAGACTCCAACTCAAAAACAAAAGCAAAAACAAACAAACAAACAACAACAACAACAAAAAATAAATAAAATAAAATGGAACAAGATTATCATTTAGTAGACATCCACTGAGTGTTTCCTACATAGTGGGTGAGACAGATCTGTGCCCTTTTGGATTCTGGTAAGTGATGCTCTAACTAACTGACCTCTTCTTCTTACACAGTTTTGATGGTGATGACTTTGATGATGTGGAGGAGGATGAAGGGCTGGATGACCTGGAGGCTGCCGAGGAGGTCAGTGTTCAGCCACAGGCTCCCGCCTCTGCGGCCCAAGGTGTCAAATGTCCCGGCAGGTGATAATTATACGAATGCGTCTACCTCTGTTCGTGGTCAGGGCCCCTGCCATAAGCATTCCCAGTCAGAGTGAACAGTGTTCTAGTCCTGGGTAAGGGAGCAGCCCCGCAGGGTGTGCCCGAAGGCCTTTGTCCATAGACTGCGGCTGCTGGGGCAGTTCGTTCACTGATAGGTGATACATCACCTTTCTCCTTTCAGCAAGTATGTGTTGAATGTTTATTATGTGCCAGGTGCTCTGCATGGTGGTGGTACTTAGGGAACAAGGGGAAGAGATAAGCAGGGCTCAGATGAGAGAGGATTTTGTAGCCTAAAGGTAATAGGAAGCCACTGACCAGTTTTGAGCCAGAGCATGGCATGATCCAGTCACATTTTAGAAAGTGCATTCTGGCCTCAACAGCGAGGAGTGAATTGGAGAGGGGCAGGAGTGAAAGGTGAGAGATGCATGGGCTTGGACTTAGGTGCTGGTAGTACAGATGACGCTAGGACAGATGAAAAGGTATTTTGGTGGGTTGGATCTGGGGCTGGGAAAGCGGAAGATGACGAGGAGGTCGCCCAGATTTCTGGCTTGAGTAACTAGCTTCATGAATAAATAGGGCTTTCTGTCCTGTGTGACTGACAGAGGGAGAAGTGCTGTGTATCTCCTGGAGAAAGACGGATCCCTTGATGCGTTTATTTATTTATTCACTTATAGGCTGGGAAGCTGAAACCTTTCTTTGAGATTTCCTCTCTCTGCATTATACATGAAGATGGCTATTCACTTGCATCAGAACCCTCCTTCTCCATCCTTCTGGTCCTCTTCCCACCTTGTCATGTGGATTCTGCCTCCTAGATATAGTTCATCCCTGTCTCCATTTTTCCACTCCGAGTGCTTCAGCCTGGCTTGGATCTTGTGGCTTTTTACCCACATTCCTGCAGAAATTGTGTGACTGGGTTTCCTGCCTTCATTCTCACTTCAGACTTGGCTTTTGTGTGCTGGTCCCCTTCCAAAGTCCTTTCTTACCTGCCCACATGATCCATTACTACTGGTTTTCCTAAATGGCCTCTCTGTTTCTGTCCTTGTTCCCTGAAGATATTCTCAACAGCATATCCAGAGTGATCTTCTCTTCTTCCTTCCTTCCTTCCTTCCTTCCTTCCTCCCTCCCTCCCTCCCTCCCTCC